CATCTTATAACAAAAATCTAGTGTGCCTCCATCTGGATTCTTTTTTTACAAATATCTGAGCATTATCCATCACACACTGTTCCCTGTACTTCCTCATATCCTCTGATATATTCGCATTGCTATGAACCTTAACAAATGTCTCCACTAATATTTCAGCTTTATCACTATCAGTTACTGCAATATTGTCGTTGTCAACTAACACCGGAATGCCAGTATTCCTCTGAATTCCTCCCATTCTCCTGATCATACCCCACAGTTCATTAATTTCAATTTCTACCCCAATTTTATTACAAAACTCTCTCCAATAATTTTTCTTTGCTCTTCTAATTTCTCTCCTCACCATTGCCTGAGCTCTTTTATAATTAATAAAATCAGTGAACACTAGCGATTTTCTTGCTTTCCTAAGGGCTTTATTTCTGTTACAAATTAATTCACTACATTTTTCATTCCACCATGGGACCGCTTTTCTTCTGTTTTTATATTTGTTTTTGCCAATTACCTCCTCTGCTGTATTTCTAATTACATCACTTATTTTATTACTTAACTCATCTACATCCATATCCGAATAGTTAATTTCAGCCATTTTATTTTGACACAATTCTTTAAAAATCCCCCATTCAGCAGTCTTAAACTTCCATCTTGGATTTCTCACCACTTCCACTTTTATGTCCAACCCAATTTTAATAACAATAGGAAAATGATCACTTCCTATAGTACTTTGCTTCATTACATTCCATTCACACTTTCCAGCTAAATGATCAGACACTAACGTTAAATCTAATGCTGAATCTCTTCTAGCTCTGAAGTCTTTCCCACTTTTTTTAGTGCCTCAGAAGACTGCTCAGCGCGCTGAAACTAATCTTCTTCCTCTGAGGTGTAATGGTGTTTGTCAAACAAACTAATGTGTTTAGCGCCCCCGCTGGACTGGAGCGTGAAGCGGCGAGAGGAGGGAAATAATACGGGGAAATAGAGTGGGGGGAACTACAAAATATAACTGCAGTACACTGAAGTACAACTGCAGTACAAAGTAGTAAAACTGCAGGACAATGAAGTACAACTGTAGATTTGCAGTATAATGAACTACAGATGCAATATAACTGCAGTTCAGTAATACGAAATGCATGTGAAGATTTCAGATGCAAAAACTTCTGAGTTTTTGCAGAAGTTGAAAAGAATAGGCCTATTGTGTGAACAAAATATTTGCCTTGTGTCTGTCTAATTCAATTTATTTTATTTGAGTGAGCATAAAAAAAAAAAAAAAAATTGTTATGATTAGGTTCAGTAATTTCACTTTAATGGCAATGAGGTTCTTTTCATTGCCGGGTCATTCTACAGAAACGTCCACTTTTGGTATGGCAAGATGTCTTGAAATGTATTTATTTTTTTACATTTAAACTTAGACCACATTATTATATTATCTGTGTTTATTTACAAATCATGCACATTTCTTCCCTCATTATTCAGGCAGGTTTCATTTTTTGAAGAGCTTATCCTCATCGTTCTGCTGGGTTCTTATGACTGCCTTTATATCAGATGTGGAAACACTTTATCTCAGATGTGGAATCCACTATTTTGGATGTAGTCTGGAAAAACAAAGAAACAAAAACTATCAGAAATTCTCAAGTTTCAGTTACACTTTTCACTACAGGTATATTTAGTATGCTTAAAATAAATCTTGAATTGTGATGTCACCAAGTGTTTGTGAAAAGTATTCATACTACTCCCAGTTCATTTCTTATGGCATATTGGTCAGCATTAATAATGACTACGTTTACATGGACATCAGTAATCTAATTATTTACCTTATTCTAAATAAGACAATATTATGATTAAGGCGTTTACATTAGTTGCTTTTAGAATACTCCTTTCATGTTTCCGTTTTACATGTTAAAGGCTAGTTCATAGTTTTTCATTAGTCACCCTTGTGTGGTTTCACACCCGTAAGACCTTCATTCCTCTTAGGAAGACAAAATATATTTTTAAAGAAATCAGAGAGCTTTCTGACCCTACAGACAGCAATGTAACTTACACATTCAAGTTCCAGGATGGTAGAAACGACATCGTTAAAGTAATTTATGTGACTCCAGATGTTTTGACTCAATTTTATGAAGCGACGCGAGTGTTTGCGTCCAAAAAAAAAAAAAACTAATTTACCACTTATTTACAAAAAGTTTGATCTGTAATGTGCATTCACGAGAGCATCACAACGCATGAGTGTTGTGTTCATGCGACAGAAGACAAAACTGAGGTTAAACCACTGGAGTCACATGGATTACTTTCACAATGTCTTTCCTACTGTTCTGGAACTTAAATGTGTGAGTTGCGTTGCTGCCTATAGAGGGTCAGAAAGTTCTCGGATTTCATAAAAAATATCTTAATTTGTGTTTTGAAGATGAACAAAGGTATAATGCAGGGGTGCCCAAACTCCGGGCCGGTGTCCTGCAGAGTTTAGCTCCAGCTTGGGTCAGAAAGTTCTCGGATTTCATCAAAAATATCTTAATTTGTGTTTTGAAGATGAACAAAGGTATAATGGGTTTGGAACGACATGAGGGTGAGTAATTAATGACAATTTGACTGGAAGGGTAGAACTAAGTTAATTTGCCTCTGGGCCCGTTCTGCTTTAGCCGGCTGTGGGGCGGGACTTGTGGGGTAATCATTATGTGATACACCTGTAGAGAAGGTTTAAAAGGTTTTTGACTCTCTGATTTCGGCCCTCTTCGGTTACTCTCTTTGGTTTTTCATTATTTTGGGTTGCTTTGTTGTGATAATTATTATGAGTTGTAAACTTTATTTTTAACAAATATTTGTTGATTTATTTGCGTTCTCGTTGCCTCCCTCATTTGTCGCGGCTCTGACATACAGGTCATTAGATCTAGCGTTCTGACTGTATAGAATTACAAGAATCCACATGCCTCCAGTCAATCAGGTAATGTCTTCTGATGTGAAGCTCTGTTTGTATTAGGGCTGTGCAACGAATCGCCTACAATAATGAACACGATATTGCGTAGCTTGTCAGTGAACTAATGCTCTGTGTAGTAAATGCCGCTCCATCTGAAAGCATGCGATGGAGATTTAAATCTGAGTTTAAAGTTATGGTGCAACAGGATTAAAGTTAAGCTTAAATCTAACTGAAATCCAGGATCAAAATGATGGGTTAAAATGTAAACCTGCTTATTTTTAAAGGTTTAAAGTTTGGTGCAACATAATTATTAGATAAACCTTGATTTAATCTAGATTTAAAATTAATAATTGCAAACCATGTAGTTATAATTTGAAGAAGAAAAATGCACATTAGGCCTAATGTCTGAAGTGGGCAAGCGGCAATAGGCCTAATGATCATTTAAAATATAATTTGAAAAGTGTTTCTTTCACAAAATGAGTATTGTGAGTGTATATATATAACTATAACGGCTACTCAACTTTTCTCCCTCTTCACCAGGCACTCATGTCACTTCCATTTCTTTCAGGATAAATAAATGAATGCACGTGTTGTAACTCTGTCTGTAGGCCTATAGCGCACACAGCCCCTAAATTTTGCAGTCAACTATGCATATAAACTTAACACTAAACGTACAAATTTTTTTTTCTATTAAATGATTTTGTCTGTTACTCTTAGTTATAAAGGATGGTAGCACAGCATTTTTGAACGATTGTCTTCATGAGTTTGTCTGCATCCATATTGCATGTTTCCTCTCACTTGCAAAGTATGCTTGCAGTTATTTCTTCTAGTTCTTTCAAAGCAGTTCTTTCTGCGTTTCCGCTCACATAATTTTAAATTCCAAATAATGGCTCATTGGCTTAGATATAACACCAGAAGCATATATTCTTATGCACACATGCAAAGTATGTTGCAGCTGTTATTTCTATTAAATTAAGTTGTCTTTGCTATTCTGTTACTAATAAAATCGTTTTTTTCACTGCTTGTCCTATTTTGGCACAATCCCTAAATTGAACTTGAGTAGTTTTATTAAGGGCACCCATCTCACATGAAATTGAACTATGTCAAACATATTCTACCTGCCTTCCTGATATAAATTACTATGAATTTGATATGGTAATTAATACTGAGACACTAATTTGGGCAAAAAGCACTAATGACTTGTTTAAGACTTGAATAAATGGAAATACAGGACGTCAACTTTATGAAATACAGCGAGAAGTAGGAGTCGTGAGAATAACTAAAAGAAGCACCAAAGAGGAAAATATTCTAACAAGATTAAGGGTTGGGCATACTATGCTGAATAAAACCTTAAAAATAATAAATAAACATCCAACAGGATTATGTGAGCACTGTGGAATGGAGGAATCAGTAGAACATGTTATTTGTGTTTGTCAAAAGCATACTAATGAACGAGAAACAATGAAGAATGAACCTAGAAAGATGGGAGTGGATAAACTAAAGCTTAAAAATATATTTACTTATGGACTAGAAAGTTTATTTTTTGTATCTTAAGAGAACAGAGCTGATTAAGAGAATTTAGAGGGAAAAATCTTGAGGTAAAGAAGTTTTTTTGTGGCTTTTCTTTCTTTTCCTTTTTTTTTCTTGTCCTCTTATTATGAAAGGGTAAACTCTGGTTCACACTCCAATACAGTAGGTGGCGATAATGCACCTTAACATTGGTGCTACCCGCCATAAAACCGAAGCAGAAGAAGAAGAAGCATAATATCTTGCCTTAGAATTGGACACATTGCACTTAATCAGTCATTATTTATAATAGGAAAACATGAGTCGGGACTTTGTGTTAAATGTGATCTTCCTGAAACAGTTGAACATATTTTAATAACATGTAAATGATACACAAAGGATAAAGATGTGACTATAGAAATGTTTCACATATTTTAAGTATCTCAAAGATACAGAGTTAATAAACAGGATTTAAAGAATCACTAGGCCTACTAATTTTTAATTTTTTTCCCTTTAACGTCGATGCTCCACACTCCATCCTAGTAGGTGGCGGTAAATGCACCTAAAGCTGGTTTGCCAACCGCCATAAAACTAAGAAGAAGCAGAAGCTGCTTTTGGACGCAGCTGCAGCAGCGTTGAGTCTTCTGAGGAGAGGTGAGCAATTCACATTATTTCACATAACGTTATTTTACATGAAACACATTTTACACAACGTGGTTTCTGTGTTGTTTTTTATCGAGTACAGCGCTGATTGTGTGTTTGCGGAGTTAAACACTCAGTAGAACAACAGACAACAAGCATGTGAGGAAAACATGTTAAGTTCATTCAGACCAGCGTGATTTCGTGTGTTTGTGTGTGTGAGTGATTGTCTCGATGTTTAGAGTGATAATGTTGCTGTTACTGAATGTCTCGTGATTTGTGAGGGGAATGAAGGCGAAACCATATCAAGTAACGTTATTGCTGCTGCGATTTTATTTCTAACGTTATTTCTCTTTTGAGATTTATCTTCGGCTAATTTATGATGGTCGCTTTTATAGCGGGTAAAGTTAGTTTTAGGTTCGGTATTCTCAGGATAATCGCTAATGCCGTTTAAGGGACAGTCTACAAATTCCAACCGAGTGATAATGTTGCTGTTACTGAATGTCTCGTTATCTGTGAGAGGAATGAAGGCGAAACGATATCAAGTATTGCTGCTGCGATTTTATTTCTGACGTTATTTCTCTTTTGAGATTTATCTTCGGCTAATTTATGATGGTCGCTTTTATAGCGGGTAAAGTTAGTTTTTAGGTTCGGTATTCTCAGGATAATCGCTAATGCCGTTTAAGGGACAGTCTACAAATTCCAACCACAGTGTAAAAAAAAAAAAAGAGTAAACTATGTCCATTTATACAAATGAATGATTCTTACAACTTTGTAGTAAATGCTAATGACCAGACTGACTTACTGTATGTGAGCTACACATTTATAACATTTGGAAAATGGGACCACAGCATTTTTTCCCCTAATTGTGTACTGTACATGTATAAAGAGATAAGAAAGTGTGTGCTTTATTGTACTTGTATAAGAGGAGGTATTTAAAAAAATATTGCCTGTAATAACACATTATTTTTGTCACTAGGAAGTTATTTTAAATTGTATTAAATTGTTTTAATTTCATACATTAAGCTGTGGTGGGCATAAGAGACTTTCAAAAACAAAAAATCATACCAACCCCAGACTTATGAAACAGTAGTGTATGTTTGAGATTTTACTTGCCAAGCCCTATGGTTTATAGCATCTTGGAGATGCACAGGAGGTTCACTCCCACTCTGCTGGGGTGCAGCAGGCCATCAGCATTGAAGAATCTAGGAACAAAACAAGCAATCTGTCACAGAGCCAATAATATTTAGTCTGCAGTTCCAGTTTTATTAGAAGGAAACAAGCTAGAGCAGAGGCACAATGCAGATAAAAGAAAGAATAATCTTATAATGTAATATACATAATATACAAAAAATACACCTACTACTAATAATAATAATCTTAAAATAACAATCTATGTTTTTAGTTTTAAGTCGAGTGTCACTTACGTTTTGACACTTTACATTTATATATATATATATATATATATAATTTAGCCAAAGGGAATAACAGGTGCATGGGGAAATAGTTGAAAAATCAGTTTACCTGTATTTTCTACTTCTCAGTGAGCAGCTCCTTCAGAAATGTTGAAATCTTGGAGCTTCCCATCTGTTCTGTAGAGTTTCTTTCTGTCCTCCTGAAATCACAGAACAGTTTTTATCAATGTGTTTACCATGAAAGATCAAAACCAGTTTGAACTTACACAAAGATTTTTGTTAAAAGCCCAAGTTTCCATAACAAGAGCTCAGTCTAGAGTTCTGAAAACTGCTAAGATGCTAACGGACTTTTTCCGAAGACACTAAACCATTTCTATAAAATAAATATGCAATAGACACATGTAATTTACAAGTAAGAAACGTGTCGGGAACATTTATATGTGATATTTGTGTGCTTTTAGGGACTAAACTTACCTGAATGCAGTGAAAACAGCAGCGAGAGACGTTTCCATGGCAACTCTGCTCCTTGCTTGCACAGAGCTCAATGCACACACAGCATTTACACAAATAAACCTCTAGAATTAAAACATTACATTAATAATTTACACTCTCAAACAATTATTATTCAATAATTAATTTAAAACTAATTTTGTAGTTCAAAAGCAAGGGCAACAATAGCTCACCATAGAGACAGATTATTTCTGGTAACGTTCGAACACGACGAAAAAGCAGTTAGTACTTCTCATTAATAATCCGCTTTATCATTTCCCCTCCGAGAAATTGCTGGAAACACATTAAGGTGTTTAAAATCGCTACAGTGACCGTTAGCTAAACAAATTGGAAATGAGCCACAGTCTCTTGGTCTCTTCACCGGTGCTGTAGCACGCAGAGTGCCTACTAGTACCCTTAAGTGTCACAGAATTAACAAAATGGTATTTTTTTTCTTTCTAATTTAGCTCAAGTGAAATCTTACCTGAAAGCCACAGATGTTGCGGGATGAGTCTCTTCTCTCTGTAGGTTGCTATATAAGAGACAAATAACTGGGCTCCAGCAAACAGAAAAGAGCGGCATCGGCCTCCGGTCGTGAGCCGACTCCGAGCCAACGCTTGATGAGCTGAGAAACAGAGCACTGACCGAATTATATCGGCCGACGCTTATTAGATGTTTTAGGGAATGAGGCCAACGTTTCGGTATTGGGCTGACGTCGGCCAGACGTACGTGTGCTGTCCGGGATACAATTTAATTAATTTATTGCTCTAAAGATTTAGGAAATCAAACCTTATTTATATATTATGTGCTCTATTGTATAGTTACTTATTCGTTAATGAAGATGGGTGTCATAACATTTCTGTGTTTATGCTTTAATTTTTAATTCTTACTATTCTTTATATCTGGAAGAATTTATACTATTTATTTTATATATTTCTAGACATATGTTAATACTGATGGGAAGAATGAAAGAATATGGATATAAATGTTAACAATAGAAAGACAGAACACAGAAATGCATATAATGTGTGAATTAGCACATATGTGAGTGCAGTGTTTCTGAATGAGCATTTTATATTGATCTGCTCTTTGTGTACTGTTACTTTTAATATAGTAATATAATGATTTACAAAGAGACAACACTTTGTATTTGTAAGGCTCTGGTCTCTTCTGCTTCTAATGCATAAACACTTAAATGTGAAAGTTAGTTAAAAAAAAAAAAAAGTTGATTTTGGCAAATCTTCTTCCAGACAGAAATTAATGTTCAGTGAAGCTCCTCCCACAAACCCTGCAGAATGAAACGCACTGAAGATACTGAAGAACAAACAGGTTGGTGTTAATTCTTTATTAATAATGCTGATGGTTATAAAGCTTCAAGCAGATTTAGATTTGTTGTAATAGGTGTGGCGGAACGGAAACCAGTCGCCACCTGAATGCTTACATTGTTGACAAATCAGAACAAACGGGTAATTAGGGACAAACTATTTAAGGAGGGTTATGACCTGGTTCATGCATGACGGAAGTGCGCAAAATTTCGCTGCTACAGAGATGTGATGAGGGGGGAATAGCGCGTGCTACGGTGCGAAAAGTGAGTCTGTTTGGAAGTAGGGGATTGAGGTGACGGACGCGAACAGTGGACTGAAGGGAGGTGCGTGCTGCGGATTATGCCATATTGCCGGTCTTCTAGTCCGTGCTGTGAACGAAGCTCTTGTTGTCCACCTGTACTTCTAATGCTCCAAGCTGAAGACCAGCTGCACACAGTACAAGCACAACCCATACACTACACACACGCCATGTACTCTTTCTAAAAACGCTGATGCACACACATTACACACACACACACGCTATGCACGTTATACAAACAAACCCGTTACACATATGCATACATTTGTTTTTGTTTTTTGATCTTTGTTAATGTATAAAATGGGGAAAAGGGAAACTGGGTTGTAAATTCTAATAGTTATGGGTTTGCTCTGACCAAGTTATTCTCTTTTCTCATGTTGGGGTGTAGGGAGGGGCTTCATTGTGTCTGAAACTTAAGGTTTCATGGAAGCGAAATCGGCATTGAGAAAACGGCACTGCATCAACCTTACTCAAGCCGGGTTTCTGAACTTTATTTATTTTCTTCGTTTTTCCCCCCCCTGGTTTATATGGGGTGTTTCACTGAAATGTAAAACTGACTCAACATGTCTTGATTGTATCAGATAATTTTGTTGTATTTGACCCGTGGTTTTGCGGGGTAATAAATTTGCATATGCAAAGTATTGAATGTTTAATCTGATTCATTTCCTCTTCACGATCTTCATATGTACTTTGGTGGTTTTAATGAGTTATCCAGAGTTTATTTATTGACAGGTTTAAAACACCCTGTCTGACGCCCGAACAAAAGTATTGATTAAGTTTTTTTTATTTACTCTTAGGGCCACCACTGTTACAGAACTGGCACCCGAACAGGGACCTTGAACTAAAAGTAAGCAGACACCCTAAGTAGTTGACATTTAAAGAAGTGATAGTCTGTTATATTGAAGTCTGAGGGGAGTGAATCAAATTGAGTTTGGTAAATTTAACCTGTGAACCGAATTTAAAGTGTGGAAAATATTTTTTCTTTCTGTGATCTGCGCTGTTTTTGATCTGAACGAACTGTGAACTTTGGAATTATGAACTGTGTCTACTGTGAATGTGAACTCTGCAGTTAAAATTGTGCAACCGAGTTCAGTGCCTACAAAAATGCTTCAAGGTGGTTTAACGTGTATGTTGTGCATTTGTAAATTGAACTGTTAAATTTGAGGGTGAGTTTCCCCCTTGTTTGATTTGTTACTGGAGCTGAGGTGCATTGTCAAATTTGTTGGTTTATTTTTTTTTGGCCCAGTTTGTTATTTTGACCCAAAAAAAACAACAAAAGACACCAAGACCCTTTTCTATTTACTGATTTTTATTTTTCATTTTACATACTGACATACTGATATGGCTACTACTACACCTTCCCCATCAACATTTGTAGAGATGGAAGTACCTGAAGTGGAAACTCCCCTCTGGCAGCCACCAGTCCCTATCATCTCACAGGCATATACCCCCAATTACAATCAAACATCGCAACCTGGAACACAAGTG